ACATTCTTGACAACCATCAATTCTTCTCGAACAAAAGACCGCTTTGGACCATTCCCATCAATATCTTCAATCCAGTATAAGACTGGTTGATTTTTTTGTACCAGAGATTCCTTGATATGATATATTTGAGGTGACCAATTAAAATCGGTAGCTCTTTTTCTACCACCCTCCAATTCACCAGGTTCAAGTAAGTATCTAACAGGATCATTATATGATAATCGAATTTCATCAAACCCCATAGGTCCATATCTTGGTTTAGATGACTTAGCATATACATGTTTTAATTTTCGAGCTTCAGCAGGAGACATACCAATTAATCGGGTTTTAGTATTATCTATCTTTTCAAGAAATATAGGAAGATCATTCACCCAAGCTCTACAACGTTCCATTGGAGGTAATAACAACTCTACACCATCTTGAATATAGAATGACCACTCCTGTAAAGTTCGATTATATCTTTCAACTATACCTTGTCTTTTTTTTGATTTGCTTCTACTAATTTCTATATTATACTTAATCATTAACTTTTCACATTTTCCGTAAAATTCAGAACCATAATCTGTTTGCAATATCTTTAGTTGTGTAAGAGGAAAATTATGAAATTTATAAAGTTTTAAAAATCCTTTAGCAACACTAGCAGAATCTCGATCAGTCAAAGGATAAGTCCACTTAGTTCGACTTGCTATATCTACACAATTAAGAGCATATTTATATATCTTGTTTCCAACTCGATCATGTGGCATATAACATAAATCAGCCTGTATAACTTCCATTGGTACAGTAATGTTTATAAATGATGCATATGGAATAAACTTTGGCCGGGGTTTATGAACCTGAAAAATAGCCTGTTTATTTAACCAATTTTTTATATCAGTTAACGAAAAATTATAACCAGCATTTTTACATGCATTATACATTTTTTCAGCTGTTCTATAATAACCTTCAGGTTTATAGTAAATCTCACGCAAAATAATATTACGTTCTACAGAAGGATCAATTGATATTATAGGTACTAATGCCATCTTTAGAAGAACAAATCAACAAATTAGAAAAAATACTATCTAATAATGAGGTATATATTAATTATTTAGAAAAAGAAATCTCAAATCGGGATGAAGAATTGGAGGAGATAGAAATTCTTCGTAAGAATAACATGAGCTTACAAAAGCGTCTAAAAAAAGCATTGTTAGATATTAACTATAAAGAAGAAACATTGGTTATACTAGATAATAAAATATATGATCTTCAAGAAGAAATAAATACTTTAAAAAATAGAATCCAAAATATAACGTCCAGAAAAAAATCAACAATGGATGAAATCCAAACTCTAGGCGAATCAATTAGAAATGCATTCATAAATATCAATAGTATATTTCAAAGAACACCAGCCATACCTAGATCAATTATTGATAGAGAAATTACTGATATAAGAAATGCTGTAACTAGACTCCAAGGAATTTCAAACTTTGAAAAAAATCGAGCAAATACTGCAGAAGCTAAAATTAATCAAGATACCCAAACTATTTTAAGATTAAATTCTACAGTACAAAAATCCAATGATGAAATGAGGTTAATGACAATGGCATACTATAATGAAAAGGAAGAACGTCAGCATTGGTATTTCTCATACAAAGATAAGCATAGGAGGATTGTTGAATTAGTAAGAGAAAAATTTGCTACCCAATTATTATTACGCACTAAAAGACAAAAATTGCAACAAAAATTAAATACTTGTCAGAATGATTTATTACTTAGCGATATTCAACTTGATAATAAATGGGGCAAATGGAAAAATCGATCCAGAAATTATGAGCAAATAATTATTAATCAAAATCAAAATATTTTAAATTTGCAAAATAATATAGCAAATCAACCAAACATGGCTACAATTCATGAAATATATTTAATATTACAATCACCACTTAGTCAAATTCCCAATTATATAGGAAAAGAACCTCCAGATGAGTATTATCAAAAAATTATAAATGTTATTGATTCTATAAATACTGTAACTACGGCTGCCAATAATGCTAATGCAAATACTTTTACTGATGCTCATATATGCGATATCTTAAAAGGTAAAATGGGCGAAAAGTTTTCTCCTGTACCAGCTAATGATCAATATACTGTAGGCAATCCTGCTATTGATTCTCCAGCAACTTTTCGAGTTTGGCTTCGTCATAAATATCGAGAAGTAACATCAGGAAATTCAGAATTGGCTTTACAATCATTGATGCAAGAAAAATTTAATCCATTAGATACTCCAGATACTTATGAAACTAGAATCCGAAAAATTATAGTTGGTTTTCAAGCTGATATGGTTATACCAGCATTATATACCCATCTTCCTCCCGATCTTCGTAGTACTGTAAAAATGTATATGTCAATAAGAGGTGGCAATACAACTATAGATAATTTCTTTGCAGACTTAAAAAAATGCTGGATTGAACGGCAAGCTGGAAATAATAGTATACAACCGACATTAATAAATCAACAACAAACCAATAATGCATTAGATATATTAGCTAATTTAGCACAACGTTTGGGTTATTCAGGGGATTTAACTGATTATAATCAAATGCAAAAATATATTGAAAATGATCTTTATAGAAATTATGGAAGGCAAATTCATAATATGAAAAATGAACCATTTGAACCGCAAAGAAAAATATATGCTACAAAACAACCCGCTTCTAGAAAGGTAATTATAACAAATAAAAATTCAAGACAATGCTCAATTTGTAAAAAAGTTGGACATACAAAAATTAATTGCCCCAAACTTAAAAGAGTTAGAAGAGTTAATAATATTTCTCAATATGAAAATAACGAAAATGATGAAAATGAAGAATATATAGAATATGTAGAATATGATGAGGAAGAAATAATAGATGCGGATAATGAAGAAGTAATTTTAGAAGATGATGAAAATGAATATATCGATTTTGAACCGCAAGAAACAAACTGTTTTAATATAAAAAAAAAAGAGGCGTTTCTAGGATTCCTATAAAAAACAAAGCTATCAAGTCAACTAAGAAAAAAATGATAGATGAAAATCAAGTATTCTTAGAATCGATTAAATATATAATATCATCATTAATTCCACATTGTCCAAAAGAAATTCTTTCAGAGTTATATGCATTTATTAGAAAATTATTTCCAGAAATGGAAAACACATTCCACTCATATTATACAAAAAATTATTCTAGTAAAGAAAGAGATATGGTATGGAAAAATCTTATTAAGAAATATCAATTTATTTTAGTACCGTTGATTTATATTATTAATAGCCATAAAGAAAGTCAAAGTCAGGAATCTATTACTGATAACCGTCCTTTAAACCATGCAATAAAATTATATCAAGAAGCGCAATTAATTCGAGATTGGCCTAATCCTTTAGAAATTAATTTCCTGCAAATAAAAGAACCAAACAACTATGCAACTATTCCATGTAAAATATATGATTTAGAAATACCTCATGCTTTACTTGATACGGGTTCTGATGGATCTCATCTTTCTGATAATATTGCAGATTATATTGAAAAATATTTTGGTTTAAAAATGGATAGAAAAAAGACTTATAGGCTTTCAGGAGCGGTTGGAGAAAAACAATCTATAGGGACATTTCATGATATTCCAATAACTATAGGTATAGGAAATGATACTGTAAATATTTCAGATGAATTTTCAGTTCTTCCAACGGAAAAAGATCATAATGGTAAAGATATATCATTATTTATTCTTGGTACCAGATGGCAACATCGTGCTGGATGGGAACCTATTGTAAAAGGCGAATTTAAAGCTTCTTGCAATGGAAAAACCATTACTATTCCACTTTCCGTTCATAAACCTCAGCAAAATGTTTTTAGCAAAGCTACCATCAATAATGTAGAAAAAAAAAATTAATTGATAGAACATGTCAATATTGTAATCGGTCTTTCAAATATCCTTGTAGATTGAAACCGCATTTAAAAAACTGTAAGCATAGAAAAAATGAAAATAACAGTGTTTCTACAGTTAATGAAAATGTTTTGACAGCAATTAACAGTGTTTCAACAGTTAATGAAAATGTTTTAACAGCAAATAACAGTGTTTCAACAAAAAATAATAGCAGAGCTAGCATGGCCAACGTTCTTACAGTTCCTATTCGATTATCATTAGCATAATTGTACTTAGCCATGTAGATTTTTTCTAAACGTAAATTTTTTTTGATATTCCAGATTAGTTTCTGAATTATAGTACCTATTTGCCCATAAACCTTTTTCAGCATAGGAAAAATAACTTTCTGGCTCAATTGTTCCATCCCTACCGCCATGTGGATTGAAAGATATAATGTGGTCATTGAGATTGATTATTTTTTGGTCCTTAGCATCTATAATATCTTCTAATTGCTGACATTTATTTCCTAACTTATTAATTTTTTCCAAAGAAGATTTGTTGCTTTCCTTTAATGCTACTATATAATTTTTATATCTTTTATTATCAGATGATAATTTGGCGATTTTTTTATCCTTTTCTTCTAATGTTTTATTATAATTCTTGGTATTTTGTGTCTCCATTGCAGAAACTCTGGATTCATATTGATCTTCTAATTTTTGTTTCAAAATATATATATTTTTATTATTCTCATCAATAAGTTTATCATATTCGTTTTTTACATTACTAATCTCAGTATCTTTTTCATTGGTTAATTTTTGACGTTCAGCTTCAAGATATATCAAATTTTCTTGCTTTAGCCTATTAGTTAATTTCTGATTAAATATCTTTATATCTGCTGAAGAAGCTACATTATTACCAGTACAAAGTAAAGAAGATTCCGATTTTTGTGCATCCTGCTTATCTATCAATGTTACAGAATTGGATAATTTCGGTGGAGCCTGCTCTGATGAGTATTTTATACTTCGACGTTGTCTTTCTTTTTTCTTCTTATATTTTTCAACCTCATGTTTTAGAAAATTTTCAATTTCCGAGTTTATATTACCTACCTCAACCTCTGTTAAAGGATTATTTTTTCGTCTTGTAAGACGTTTCCAAGATTCTTGTATTATTGATGGTGGTAATTGCTCAACCAAGTTTGAATAATTTTTGTGGAATTCCATAGAATATTCCTATATAAGAATTCCAAAGAATTCCAAATAAAAAAATATTTATATTAATCATGTATAAATATCGTTCTTATAAAATTTTAATTTATCTAAAAAAGTATACTTTTAGTGATTGACATCCATAAATTAATTTCATACATAATTAATCTTATACATGAAGTATACATGAAGTGAAGTATACATGAAGTACACTTGAAGTATACTTGAAGTATGTTCATAAACCGTTAATATTATAATAGTTATATTATGTAAACACAGTTTAAATACACTTGAAGTACACTTGAAGTATACTTGATGTATACTTGATGTAACGTTGATAATTGTTATGTTGTACGATATAATTAATATTTTTTTTCGTAATACGTATAATTAATATTTTGGACGAATTTATTTTCATTTAATAAAAATGCCTATACCAATCAAAACTCATAATCCCGAAGCCTCGAATTTACATACTAATATTAGTAAAAGTATGCAAAATAATGTTTCTAGCCTTATTTCATCATTTATGTATAAAAAAATCAGAATTTCTTTACATGTATTGTTAGCTATAGTTAAGCCGGAAATTCATAAACTAATTATAGATTCAATGATGATTAATAATAATAGCGGAGCTAGCATGGCTAAAACAGTTTATAATATATCTAAAGTAGCTTCGTCTGATGAAGATG